ACTTCTCCCTTTCCATCATTGTGCTTCTTCCCATCAACATCCACCTGGAAATGGTCTTTGTTTAACCGGTTTTTTTTTTTACCTTTAGCTGTGACCCAAGTATCCCTTCTTGCTCCTCAACTCCAAACTCTGGGTTGCAGTGTTGTACTATAGATTTCTCTGGTAAGTGAGTAAGTCTTCTTCTGCTTGCCATTAACTTTACAGGTTCAATTAGTTTTAAAGCTTTGTTGTTGATAGCATCCTGTTTTAATATGTAGGTATATGAAATATGGTTCAATTGCCTAATTTACTTTGCTTTGGTAATTGAGTTTAAGGTGGAGATTGGGTTTTTTTTTTTCTTTTTTTTTTTAAAGTTTGCATTTGCGTGATCGATCGAATTCTAGCTCTTAAAAGTTGTCTTTTTGGTTTATGGAAATTGACTTGAACGGTGGGTGGGAGGGAGCTGGATTTGGATGTAATTCTTCAAAATTGCTACCTTTTTGCTTACTTATATATTCAAAATCCTCTTGAACTTATAATCTTCTTTTATTCACACCTTAATTATAATATCCTGAATTCCCAACTCCCAAGTCCGTCCAGGATGATTTATCCATGAATTATTGAAATTTATGTAACATGATGGTTATGGACCCAAATATGTGGGGTTAATTGCATTTGAAATTTGAAATTAGTCTCTATTGTTTCTTACACACCATTGATATATTATAATTTGCTCTTAAATAGCCATACATGTAATAAAGCATCTCCCATTTGCAGGATAGTAGAATTGTTCATCATAAGTTAATGGGATAATGCTTTATTGAAGAGATTTGGACAGGTCTCACTTTTCTTTTTACTGGCAAAATGGGTAGGGCATTATGAATGCTGAACCTGACATATATGTGTTTGAAATTCTCGATACTGAGAGAAATTATGTTTGCATCCCAACTTTTATAAGAGATTTATGGAGTGAATCTTGGAAAAGCTTGTTTCATCCCCTCTGAATTTAATATGAATAGATTTTCAATAGCAGCTGAGCTGATGACATGGGTCTGTCTCAATTATAAACTCTGTTGTTTTGTGAGACCTGTTTGTCTAATGAAGTCGCTCTGAATTTAATATGAATCTCCCTTTATCGCTTGTGTATAAAATGCATACACATAGCAGTTATGTATGTGAGACCTGTTTGTCTAATGAAGTCTAGATTTTTGGTTGTTCACTATCAGGTGGGTGTTCCGTAAAGAAAGTATATTTCCTGCATTGCATTGCATTGCGTTGTGGTCCATGCTAATGACATCATGCAGCTCTATCATCATCCGTATTTGTTGGACAGCCTAACGGTTAGACTTGCATTGGAAGAGAAAGGGATCGACTACACATCACATCATGTGAATCCCATCACTGGCAAGAACTTGGACACCTTTTTCTTCCGCATGAATCCAAGTGCTAAACTACCTGTTTTCCAGAATGGTTCCCACATCATATACGATACTCGACATAATTCAGTATGTCTTCCCTTCTTCCCTTTCTTGTCTAAATAAATATATATAAGTGTTTTTGTGAAGTGAAACTATGAAATATGTAGTAATATATTAGATTGTTCCTTGAATTGGTTTATTTATTTATGCACTTACACAAGTTTTTACTTTAGGCTGCTGATAGGCACGAGTGACATGTGTGAATTGGTTTTAATGAACTTGCAATGTATTCATACATACATTCACAGATATATAGAAAGGATGGCGGAGAGAGTGTCTTCTGGTGGCGTCGACTTAAATGTTAGCAACCGAGAAGTTGTGGAATGGATGCATAAGATTCAAGAGTGGGACCCCAAGTATTTTACTCTCTACCACGTGCCTGTGAAGTATCGTCTCTATCTTTCTAAATTCTTTAAGACGTGTAATAATTGCTCGAATGGCTGAATGTCCTGACCGAAAGCTAAGAGAGGCATATGAAACAGAAGAAAAATTGGGGAATGCACAAGTTGTGAGACGGAGCAAAGAACATCTTGCAAAGCTTCTGGACAAGGTAGAAGGTAAACTTAGTGAAGCATCTTATCTAACTGGAGAGGAGTTCAGTTTGGCGGATGTGATGCTCATTCCTATTCTAGCTCGGATACAAGTGTTAAACTTGGAGCTCGAGTTCATCAATACAAGACCTAATCTATCTGATTACTGGGCTGTGGTTATAAGAAGGTGATTGGAAGATACTTTGATGGGTGGAAAAGGCAGAAAACACTATTGAAGATACTACTAAGGATGAGAGAATACAACTATAATGTCATTCTCATCCCTGCTCAAAATGTTATATTGTTTTTATTTTTCTCCAAGGCCTTTTACAGCAATCAACCGAAAGATTTTGTAAACTCAGACCTATCACAGCGTGAACCTGTGTGAAACTCCACCCTTTCATCATCCCTCTCCATGCAGCTATTTTTTCTGGTACCCACCTATCTCTAAAGTTTCTTGCAATTTGATGAACCTGGGCAAAACACATAGAAAAACAAAAAGAATCATCTAGCACTAATCTTCCCTAAAGATTAGGACGGACAATTTAACAATTATAAATATTTTCCTCAAAAGAAGGGTAAATTGGGAAAGTATTTTGCAGTCTATTAAGGAAACAGAAATAGTGCTGCCCAAGTGCCAACAACATGCCACCGTTTCCCCCAAGATGCATACCTGTAACCTGTTTGTCTATGTGCTCTGTCAATGCCAAAATCGAGTCTCTAAAGCTGCAGAATGTAAAAGCAAAGTTGTGGTATTGTAGTTAGTTTGCATCTGAAATTAATACTATGAACAAATAAAGAGAGTTAACAGCATAGTAGTATACCCTGTTTTCATGGAGAATTTTTGAAAGGATGGGTAGTGTTAGGAATGGAAGAAAAAGAGAGGAAGAACATGCAGAAGTTAACAGATAATAAAAAGGAGAGAGATATAGCAACAGATAAAAGAGGATTCCATACAAGTATATGTCATAATATTTGACTAGGAGTATTCACCATCAAAAGTTTCAAGTGACCATAAAATAACCAATCAATGCAGATTAGGAATACAACATTAGAATAGAAGAAATGTGTAGACAATTAAAAACTGGAAAATGGAATTGTTCAAACCAACCTTCCCACTCCAGGTCGAGAAGGAACCCCATTAATGTGGTCAATTGTAAGAATCTCTCTCAATGCCAGATATTCCAGTACCTGAACATCAGAACAACCAAAGTTATGTTGCTTAAGTTTGGTCTATTGATGATGCACACAAGCAGCCTGCTTTCTATGTATATTTGGTCTTGTAGCTTAAAAAGTTTATCAAGGACTTGAAGATGATCAGTGAAATAGTTTCGCGGAAACTAATGTCAAATTTTCAACCCTAAATAAGTTTTATCAGATCAACTTTACTTTGAAATTGGACCCTGCATTTGGATGAAAAATATATCAGAAAATTACCCTGAAAAGAAGGATAATGTTTTCATCTATTATAAGATCAAACATCAGCATTTTATTACCTTGCCATGATAGAAATTGAAAACAAATGGAAGGGACATTGAAATTTATGCATACATGTTATGTATTAGTATGCCAACCAAAGATGCCCTGTTGGAGTTTTAGTAAATAACAAGTGAACTGAGGCTCAAACCTATCACCTCCCACATAGGGGAGGGGAGCAACATGGTACCATTGGACTACAAGGTCCTTGGTACAAATTTTAATCCATTAGTTGAACTAGAAAACTGCTTAGAGTGTAGTTCTAATGCAATCCGGCAATATTGGACTACAAGGTCCTTGGTACAAATTTTAATCCATTAGTTGAACTAGAAAACTGCTTAGAGTGTAGTTCTAATGCAATCCGGCAATATTACCTTAAGCAGCTTTCGAATAATTATTGTTTTATTGAATTCCCTTCTATATCGCTTCATTTTGTTGTGCAACATCTGCAAACCTAGCAAGCACCCAGCAAAAACAATGTTGCACTTATCAAACACCATGTACCTTATTTGACTGGAAAAATAAGGGTAGACGGATGCAATATTCAGCCCATCACTTCCTACCATTCGTATTGATAATATCAACTAAAACTGTCCTTGATTTTGTCTTCAAGAGTGCACCAAGGATCATAGAGAGCTCTCGGTTGCTGCAAAAGATACATAATCAAATGCCAGTGCAATGCTGAGCATTCTTGTTGAGACACGATATCATATGATTTCAAGGGCTCTTCATTCCTCTAGCAGGTTTAAACTGCAATTCTGTCATCAGATTTACAAGGGCTCTATTTCGTTTGCGTTAGAACTTATGCTGTTTTATTTGTCATCTATTTGCTAGAATCATCTATTTGCTAGAATTTATGTGCTGTTTTATTTGTCATCTATTTGCTAGAATTTATGTGCTGTTTTATTTGCCATCTATTTACTAGAATTTATGTGATTAATTTTTTTTAAGCAAAACATATTAACCGTATAATTCATAATTTTTTTTTAAGTATAAAAATGTTTTTAAGTAATTAATTGAGTCATTTCATATGCCAAAACATTCAATCAAATAATTATCAACCAACATATCCATCACTTTGGAAAATACTTTGGGTAAAGTAAAAAGAAAACAATCACTTACCGTGAAATCTTATTTTCCCAAATTTCTCTAAGTCTCAATTGTTCAAATTCTCCTCTTCTATCAACCGTTTTCTTTGCCATCTATTCGCTAGAACTTATGTGCTTTTAAAATAGATAGTTAATATGAAAGCATTGCCATGTTATCAAAATCGTCTAGCCTAAAACGCTTATTCCTCTAAACTTGGGCAAATTCAATACTACATTCCTCTCAAAGATTTAGTACAGCATACATATCCGTTTGTTTGCATAAATTAGTCTCAGCATCAATGAGACACTCAGAACCCGGATAGAGCATTTGTCGGTGGTTGAATAAATTTCATTTTATTGTTTTAGGCTTCGTATATGTGAATCCATGGAAGATAACTTGACTTTGCTGACAAATATTATAGCCTTAAAAAAAATGATGAAAAGAACCATAAAGCACTAAAACTTTTGGTTTTTCTTGCTAAAAGACATCAGTGACCATAGTTGTGAGCAATAAATGGCTATTCTTCATCACTCTACACATTTTGAAATACATTTACATCTAAATGCCTATTTCTGATAAGTAGCACGTCTTTAAATAACATGTCATGTTCTGAACTGCTGCTATGATATGAATGTCAGAGGCTATGTTCAGCTTTCATCTGTCTTTCTTTTAGTCTTGGTCAATCTGCTGGCTGGAAAGTGCAACCTGGCCATTAGTGGTCGAGGAGCTCGCTTCTTCCAATCAAATCCTCTAACACAAACGTACCCTGAAAACAAAAATCACAACTTCCAAGTGGAGTGAAAAACTAGAGAGAGCTGATTACTCTGTTACAAGATAAATTATGGTTTCCTATATTTTCAGATGTCATGGCCTAAGTATTGTCATACAAGAGCATGAGAATTTGAATAAAAGAAATATACAAAGTAAAGAACACAAGAAGATAGCAGGCAAAATAGGAATAAGGATTAAGGAACAATACTGCTATGTCACTCTACAGTCTACTCTGTTTCCTATATTTTCAGATTCTTAATACTACTAGGGTGTTTAATAAACTGGCTAATTGATACTATGTTTAATGATTAAAATAGGTCAGAGAATGTAATGATTTCATTTCTAATTGCAAGTAATAAACACATAAACACATGGAATATGAATGAATGTGAACTCATTGCCCATCTATTGAATTTCACATCTCTTGAATATGTAAGGAGAAGAGTGTGAGAAAGACTAGTTTATGGCTGAAATTGTCTTTTGCCTTGTCTTCATGGCTCACTAAATATATGTCATGTAGTTCTACTTGTTTAAATGTATGGGATGTAAATAAGATCATTTAGACTAACTAGAAATGTGTGATTGTCATTCAAATACCTCTCCAGAAGCAGTGTTGGATATCTTCTGTTGATAGGCCTATGAACAAAGAAAATCATGTCTGTAAATTCTCAGAACTTTTCTAATAACTACAGTAATGTGAGTTTATTAGCCATTTTACCTTTGAATATTGTTGGTATTGAGGTTCCAAAGAAAACAGTTTTTCGGTGCAAATCCCACAACCAAACCCTTGGAACATCAATTGGGTTTAGGCTGGATTCATGATCGGCAAAGACCTATTGTGTTTTTGTTTTGAGAACCTCATCATTTTCAGAAGAAAAGAATACTTTGATATGCATGGTAGGCTTATGTGAGCTTATAGGAGATACCGAGATACTTTAACTCATTGCTGTTCGACAGGGTATCTGTTAACACAATCTTATTAGATGGTTGGTCCAAAGGAGGTTGTTTCATTTGCCTTTTGGCCATCGAATCATGATTATTGTAGTGGTAGTGTTTCTATGCTCATTCTTACCAGAAGTGTCCCTCGAACAGTTTGGGAATGTGCTTCTCGTATGCTATTGCATGGAAAGCATGTTTCCTCCTGACATAGTTTGCCAGATTCTTGGGAATCACATCTCATTTCTGGAGGCTGAACAGAGTTTACAGTTTCACCTGATATGAACATTACACATAACTTATTGCAAGGAAATAAGCAAGAGGGGAGAGAGTAAAAACCACAATAATTCAGAGCTGGCCCACAATGCTTTTAAACTGGCCTCATTATCCAAGGTATGGGCCAGGGAACATTGCTTAGTTAAAAGTAAAATATGCTTAGCTATTTCAAACAAAATTATTTCCTTCTAATTACAGCACTAAATGCACTTACAGGAGATGACTGTTGCGTTTGAATCTATCACTAGATTCTTGTTCAATTATATCTCACAATAGGTGTGTTTCCTTACCAGGTGTCCAAATGGCCAGAAGGTAAGAGCATGGATCATCTGGATCTCTTTTCTCCAACTGCAAGATAAGAAAATGTAATTATTGAAAGAGTTCAGTTCTGATAACTACTCAACATTGCAAATGTAAAGTTACTCACCCTTTCTAGAAGAGGATGAGTATCTGGCAGCTCATAGCTGTAGAATAGAGAAAATGAAGTACGCATTTATAATTGTTTTGTGTCTAAGAGGGCAGGTTTGCTTAGTTACTGACTAATATTCAGTTCTGTAGGCAGTGTGTTTGGATATTAAATTGTCATGCTATCATAGGTATTATAAGCATATACTTACACATGATGCTCAGTTCTGAGCCGGCTAATATTTTTGAGTTTAGGCATGGGAATGGAAGCAGCTTCGGGAGTTAATGCTACCAATGCCTTTGACATTTCAACCTGATTAAGCTCCATATTGTTTTTCACAAACATCTTTACATTTTGAGCCAACTGAATCAGATTGAGATTAATTGTAGGAATTTCATTAGGATCATCACTGTAAGCATCCTCAATGTCAGCTTCTGATGGTATTTGCTCTGGCACAGGTGTGGTAGGCACTTCAATAATAGGTTCTTCAATGATGGGTTGAGAGTTGTTGACACCATACTGTGCTACTGATTGTTCATTGCTTTGAGGTAAGAGTAGCTGCAATGGATTGATAGTGTCTACTGTGTTTTGTTCAGCTGGTTTGTTTTCAAATGCAGGCACAATGCTTTTGTCCTCTGGTGCAGGAAGTGCAAGCCTTGCACTACAAGAGCCATATTCATTAGTTTCACTCCATGAAAATAGAGAATATTTCATGTTTAACATATGTGACTAGTTTCTTAAACATGCCATTCAAGTCTATTATGACTGTGTTCATCAAATGAAAATTACTAAGCAGTGACAGAACCTTTAAGATTTTGCATGTCCTAGTGCAGTGGTGGCTGCAGAATTTTAATTTAGTGGGTTCAGAAAATTTATACACATATACTTTGTATAATCCATAATATATATAAAACTGATTCATGTTTGTTTCCTTTTTACAGTTGGGTATATTAAGGAACTTTAAACTTATTTTAAAAATCCAAAATATATAAAATTGATATATTAAAAATTCAGCAGGGGCAGTTGAATAAAGAATATATTAAAATGGAGCAGCCACTATCCTAGTGAGCTTACTCCAACATTATGGAATAAAGAATAGAAAACAGAAAAATAGATTTTAGTGTAAGCAAGCAAGAATTATAAAAGACAAACCTTGCAAAAGCACTTGCAAAATGTCTGCATTCTCCTCTCATTGGACATGCATTGCAATTTGGTTTGCTCTTTGTACAAAACACCTACGAAGTGGTAATAAATTAGTGTTAGCTTTTTACTGAATTAAAACAATTGAGAATTAAGCGATATCTAATGGCAGTGGCAGACCTTTCCAAATGTTATCATATGGTAATGCAGCTCATATCTGCAATTAGATAGAATCATTAATGAGTCGTTGCCATTGTGTGATTCAAGAACAAATTAACTATACAGTGCTCATTATGTCTAGGCAGTTATGCATACAGTGTTCCTTGATCAAGCTTGCAGAGTCGTGGCCAAAGATACTTTTGGATGGAATCCAGAACTGGATACCTGCATAAATACATCAATATCAGTTTTTGGCAGCAGTAAAAGCACAATCAATGAGAAATTTCGCAGCAGTAAGAGCACTTACAGCTCTAGAAGGTGCAGTTGTAGTGACTCAGGTAATGGCTGCAGAGGCACCCACCCAAGCCTTACAACTATTCGTCCAACATTTGTGTCAACCTTATTACAAGACATAAGTCAGATAAATTTCTCAATTGTAATCATTTTCATTGTGTAATTGATGCTGAATCTTACTGGGAAAGCCAGATGGTGGAGCGTCAAAAGCCGTACACACTCTACACTCTTCAGACCCAATCCCCTGAAGCTCAATAGATACTCTCTGAAACCATATACATGCAACAATGTTTGTAAGGTAATAACAGATGGATAATATTATCTGGACTGCATCAGTAATATTGGAAAATATTGCATTCTAACTTTGCTTTGTCTGGTGGAACATCTCTTAGCCATTCTAAATCAGTGCTACCGTGTTCTTTGCCAAGCCGGTTTAGGAAATCCTGCAACATTTTTATTATCCTTCTCAATTGTTTATTCAGCATGGGGTATCTTGTTAATGTGAAGGAGAACTATTGAACTTTGCATTAGAGGAACTATCATTACTGATACAATTAGTGAATATACCTGTATCCTCTCTGCTAGCATGTTGTTCATTCCCCTCTCTTTGATGGTTTCAGCAATCTCATTGACATCTGCACATCTTACTGCTTCCCAGTCCAATGAATCCATTGTGTTCATTGTTCTTTCTCTTTTCTTACCGCTGGCCAAAGCCTGCTGTCTTAAATGGTCCCAATTCACTGCATCCTGTTTCTCTGTCCCAGATCTCCCCCCCTTTTCTTTAGAGGGATTGCTGCGTCTTTTATCAACTGTATCAAGATGTTCATTCTGACCATCTGAATTTGACAGTGAATCAACAACAGTACTGGCTCTCCCTGTGATATCCTGAATATCCAATGAAGTTGGGCACTCTTGATCTAGCACCAAATTGCAGTTGCTTTCTTCAGTATGAATCTGTGAATCAGAATTGACCATTGTATTTTCACCAGCTATGATCTTTTGATTAGTTGCTTGGATTGGTGATTCTGTTGAAGATTCATTTTGTTCAAGGGCATAATGTTCTCCAACGTTAACAGGAAGTTTGTCATCTTCCTTGTTCTTTTGGAATTCCGCAGAACAATCCCTCTGTTGGTTTGGCATGTCCATATTAGCTGAGCTGTTTTCCTGATTGTAAACTCCACGTAGCATGGAGGTTCCTACCATCTGTAATAGTTGAATGAAAGAAGTGCTGCAAAGACTGGTGGATTCAGTAATATCAACAGTTTGAGTATGTGAAGAGTTCACAGAATTTTGTGAAGAAACTCCAGAATTCTGAGAGGACAGCACATTATCTGGTTCTGTTTGGCCACTGTGGAAACTTGCCTCTTCCTCGTTGATCCATTTTGCTGGCCTATATAATGTTAATCCATAATGCACATCTTCTGGATCCTTTTCAGAAGAATCGACATCTTTGGCTCTAAAATTTTCGGTGGACTTAATGCAATTGGAGGTACCTTCAGTCAACTCACTATTGACAACTTCATCTTTGCAACCCATCTCCCTGAAAGCCATGGAGTCTTGACCAGGAGTTGGTTGATTCAGAGAGTTTTCATGCCATGCAATTGTGTCATCAGGATCCATTATGCAAACTTCTGGTTCTTCAATAGTTATATTTGTTCTCTCTTCATGTGATTGTTCGCTAATCTTTGATTTGAGTGGAAATCGTGCAGCCATTGACATGAAAGCAGAACTGCAAGAATGGGTCCAATTTCAAATTGGAACTAGGATTTTAGCTGCCTAGGATTAAACTCAGAAAATAATATTTACAAAAGTTTATATTCAGAAGTTGCTGACCTGGAGAGGTGATCTGACACATTTTGAGTTAGAAAAACTCCAACTACAGAATCTACAACAGATCCCTTCCATGGAGAGAAGCGCCTGTCACCTGTTTCAAGAAGAAAAAGAGGGAGTGTCTAAACCATTTTCTCTACAAAATTCAAAGTTGCTTAAATTTGATGGCCAGTAGGGATGTTGAAACTTGAATGATTACCTTGGACAAGACGCATGCGGGCAATAAACGAATCTGCTCTTCGGCGGAACACTTTCCGCTCTTCTTCCCACCATTTTGTCTTCTCCTCATCTGTTCCATCTATGCCTCGACTGTTTATATTTTGCAGCAAGAGTTTCCATACTGTAGTTGTCTCATCATCAAGATCGACTTTTGGCCGTGGTTTCCTTTTTTTTACCCCAGTAAAAGGGGCAATAGTTCCATCTCTTTGATAAAGAACAAGGGCAGTTTCCCTTTGGAACTTCACATTTCTGGTACTGAGTGTGTACTGACCTTGATTATCAGCATTTCTATTAAGATAGGTGAACCGCTCCACAATTTCGTCAATTGGAGAAGAGCCCCTCCACGGTAAAGCTGGCAGAGAACCTGAATCAGATGTTACATGAAAAAGTGAGCCAAATGCAGTTGAGTTCTTTCTCAAAACTTGAGATAGCATTTTACATACCAATTGGTGTTCTAATGTATTGGTGTTGAGCTTGTGTATTGGGAGCCACTGTACCATTCAGACTGTTTCTTTTTGAACGTTTTTTCGTTTTCATTTTCATTGTTGGGCGAGTGTCAGCAACAAGAGCTTCCATGCATGTATTGAGATGCCCTGTGTGATGTTTTGCTGCTGCTTCTCTAGATGAATAAGTTGGGAACTGTTTGCAAATCTCATGCAGGGATGCTAAGTCACGGACTCGAGTGAGACCCTTTGATCTCTTCCTTTTCAACATTGCTGGCATTGATTTAACCTGTTCGCAGATATTCTTCACATGCAAGTTATCAAAGTTTGAAGATGGCTCAATGAAATTCTCATATTCTTCAAGGTCCACAAAGTCAAAATTTAAAAATCTCCTGGAGGATCTTCTGGGGCGAGAAGCTGTTTCTGGTTGAATAGTTTCACTGCTTCCTTCTTCAATGGGTTCTTTTGTGGGCTTTTGACCTTGGTTCCTTTGAGGATACATTCTCTTCACTTTTGAGGTTTCTTTGGAACCAGGAGGAATTGTCTCAGGATTTGATACATTTGAATCCTCATCTTTGGGAGTGGCTGCACCTCGGTTTCTTTTAGGACGCTTTCTGTCCACTTTTGGGGTCTTACTGGAACCAGGAGACATCATCTCAGGATTTATTATGTGTGAACCCTCATCCAAAGGAGTGGCTGCAGGATTGTCTACTCCTTTTCTTGGGGTATACTTCCTCTTTTCTGCCTTAATCTCCTCTGTGCCTGGAGTGTTTGGGGCTCTTGGTTTATTTGCCCTTTTAGCTTCGCCTTCAACAACCACCTTTGGCCTGTGCTTTTTTCTTCTTGGTTTCTGTTGCGGTGTCTGATTTGCTTCAGCAACTAGTTCACCTGTTTTGTCAGGCTTGTGGTTCTCCATCATTTCTGATAGCTCTCTCACCAGCACTGACTGCTCTTTGTTTCCTTGGAGATCACTTTCTTCAACATTTTCCTGTACATCTTGTAGTATCGGTATCTCATTAATGTTTAGATTTAAATTTAAATTTAGCATGCTCTGTCTTCCCTTGTTCTGAACCGGGGTGATGGGTGCAAACTGGAACGAGTTGCTGCCTGAGGCTGCATCTCTCCCAGGTGGAGAATTCAGATTGGAAGAGATTCTGCTGGAGCTAACAGAACTTCCATCTGCACATATTGCATTTTGCATTATATTAGTTTGAGGACTATATTGCTGAAAGAAAATATAGTATAATACAATATGTTTCATCAATTTTAAGAGACAAATAGGTTGAAAATTAAAACATTAAACTTATTGAGTTTTCTACACTGCAATTATTACTATAGGTAGACCTCTAATCCTGACCAAATTATATTTTGGGAATAATAGGTCCAAAAGCAATGCAAGTTAGAGTTTACTATTACAGCTCTATTTCACAAATGTCATAACTTGTATTACTGTTTCTGTTTGATCAGTCTGGTGCTAACACTTTCACAACCTTTACCGGAAATTCTTATATCTTTACTGCCTACATTTATCAGATTAATGTCGGAGAACTCCAACCCAGGCCATTTATGCTTGTGAGTTGTGACAAAACATTCTCTCCAGTGCAACTATTATCTATTTACAGAGTACATTTTATGTCTTAACAGGTCTCAACAATCACATGTGATAGAAATTAGACTGGCAAGGGAAGGAGGTTTTTTATTGAATACTATTGACTCTATTACAAGGTAGTATCTGTTCTATATTTTGTCTATATATTGCAGCCCAAAGAGTCAAGACCCCACCACCGGTTCAATCCTGTGACCTTCCCTCAAGGGGAGCCACAGAGGTGCAATCTGAGCACAAGGTGCTTGGCACCAGAAAGTGACATTCATGCTATGAGACGTAAGCTTCAGTTTTGTATTCAGGGTGAAATGAATTGAAAGAAATAATATTTCTAGAAACTTATACCTGCATTATGTGAACTGAAGGTGAAACGTAAGCTTCAGTTTTGTATTCAGGGTGAAATGAATTGAAAGAAATAATATTTCTAGAAACTTATACCTGCATTATGTGAACTGAAGAGGGGAATGAATGCTATATCTGCAAGGGCACTTTCAACTGCCGCCGTGGCTCCTGCAGCATGTGCCAGTGCCAAGAGGATCCCAAAGTTCCAGTTGTCTGTATGATCAATAGAGAAGTTCTGCAAGTTCATAGCTCCCCCATCAGTTACTAAATTTGTCAAATCACACATATCATCCCTGGTAAGGGAATCATCATTTCCCTGCAAGAACCCTCCTGGTTCTAATTGGTTCATTTGGCCTATGCAAAAATCTTGTGGAATTGTTTGCAAGCCTGACCAATTTGCTCTAATCTGCTGATTTTCCTGTGCACTGTTTGGCTTTTAGGAAACCTGAATACAAATGGTGCAAATAATAGATTTTTCAGTCAGAATCATAAACCCTAACCATTTCGTTTTTTTTTTTAATATTAGATTTTACAGTTGAAATCATAAACCCCAACAAATTCGTATTTTTTAAAAAATATTTTCCCTTACGTAGTAATAAATTAAATGAACAAATATAATAGCTAAAATTCACTCAAAAGGATTGCAAACAATAGCAAGAACGACCAGATTTAAGTAATACTCAGCAGAAACGAACAAAAAATGGGAAGAACAAAAGAGGGGCAAGCATGCGGAGACTCACGAGACGAACAAGAGCTCTGATGTGCTTAACGAGCGAGGAGCTAGTGGTTCTCTCTGACCTCATGATTTGGGCCAAAGAAACAAAAAATTATATATTTAAATGTATGTATAATTTGGGCCAGATTTTTTTTTTAATTAAATAAATTATATTTTGAATGTTATGATTTTTTATCATTTTTTTTATTAGAATGAAAATGTAAAGAAACTATATTTATAATGTTATAATTTTTTATCACTAGTATTTACATTCGTGCGATGCACGATCATTAATTTTGACAATATAATATTATAATATAATTAAATATTTTAAAATAAAAAAGAAGTTTGGAAATATAAATAAATTAACTCATTTAATAAAGAGTTAATACTCATTTTGGTCATCTGACTATTAGTTAATATTTGATTTAGTCTCAAAGTATTAAAAGTACCCAATTTAATCCTCTAACTTTTAAAATGGTACCCAATGTAGTCCTCCGTTAGAATTTCCATCTATCCACCATTATTTTGAAGGGCATAAGTTTCATTTTAGTTGATAAAGCACATTTCTTCCTTAAATGAAGTGACACCAGCGACGTTAACCAGAGGAAGAAACGGGTTTGGACCAAGTAAATTGACTTATTTTCACTCAAAATAATGGTGGATAGACGAAAATTGTAACAGAAGACCACATTGAGTGTGATTTTAAAAGTTAGAGGACTAAATTGGATACTTTTAATACTTTGGGCCTAAATTGAGTATTAAGTCAGAGGATCAAAATGGGTATTAACTCTTCTCAGGGCCACAACCCACTCTTCCGTATTATGATGCTCAAAGTTGGAGAGAAGGCAAATTATGCTATGCGCACGTGCGCGGCGTCGTTTTTACGGAAAACGACGCCGTTTTAACTATAAAAAAAAAATTTGTTCGAAACGCCGTTAACGGCATATTCGTTATGAAATTATGAATATACAGTTATAACATTATGAATGTACAGTTATAGAATTATGAATATATAGTTATGGAATTATGAACTTACAATTATGAACATAGAGTTTCGAAAATTATGAATGTTCGGTATGAAATTATGAATATACAGTATGGAATTATGAATGTACAGTTATGGAATTATGAATGTACAGTTATGAAATTATGAACATAGAACTCTGACATTATGAATTTACAATTATGAACATAGAGCTTCGAAAATTATGAATTTACAATTATTGAATTATGAATGTACAGTTACGGAATTATGAATGTACAGTTATAGAATTATGAATGTACAGTTATGAAATTATGAACACAAAGCTGTGAATATATGCTCCTATAATGAAACGGTATGAAATTAAATTAAAAAAAAAAAAAAAAAAAAAAAAAAGGGAAGATAACAGTGCCTGACGGCACCGTTATCCGTGCCCATGAAGCACGCTGGGCACGAGCCCACAGCATAACTATCCTGGAGAGAATTGCACTTTTAACTGGAATGGGAATCTGTCCCCTATTATCTATATTCTGATACTCAATTATCTATTTGGTGATCCTACAAATATAGCATTAATTCTTATTGGGTCTCTAATATATGTAGATCCCATTAAAAATAATTATCCAACTAATTTCTTCCTCCCTCCTTCCTAGAAGTTGTTGAGTTTGACAATGAGATTGAAAATTAAAGTGTGGACAAATTAATCATTGCTAATTATTTGTGTCAATTAAAGTGGGTAAGCTGATAATTTCAAATTTTATAGAAATTAACTCCCCAATAATTTTTTACTTTTAGCCAAATCCTTTTCCATCTGAGTGTTCATCAATACTTAGTTAATTATTCTTCTTGAGTTATTTGATTAATGCATGGAATACTGATGGACAGTGCTTTTCTTTTAACCCTTGAACTGAAGTCAAACTGAATTGGGGTTTTATCTTTTTGCAATTCAGGTGCTTTGCTTTTTTCCATCTCGAACATCTGTTCTTTTATTTTGATGTGTGTTCAATATTAGTTATTAATTAATAGAGATTTTTTCAGTTGGTTTGCAAAGAGGGTAAGAATTTCACTTTTCGGCACAGTCCAAGAATGACAATTATCGGTCATGGGTCTCTGTTGCTTCAACGATGGATCAGAAAATACAGTGAAAGAGGCGGAGGAGAAGAAAAGAGTCGAGAATTCTGGAATGATAAATTAATTACTCCGTAATTGATAATGTATAAACATTTAAAATTTGAATTTATTACATTTATTTATTTGAGACAAAAAAATTTCATGTCCAGCTTAATTGAATTAATATTCAATCAATTTTGAGAAGGTGTTTTATCATCATCCCTATTCTGCTTCGCAGAACATCTATTCATATCATGTTTCTGAGATTTTGCTTGAGAAGGTGTTTTATCATCGTCCCTATTCTGCTTCGTAGAACATCTGTTCATATCACGTTTCCGAATTTTCACTTGAGAAGGTACTGTTTTATCATCCCTCTTGCGTTTCACAGAACGTTTGCCCTTTCCAGGATTCCCAAGTTCGATTTGTAAAGGCACTTCATCTGCAACCTCAAATTTCACGGGTACCTTGATGGCATGTTGTTCGTGAATTTTCACCTCGGAAGGGCAAGCATTTTCGCGGTCTATCTCAGCTGGTGAGGCAACGCTTGAGTTCTCGTTATTCCTTCCCTGATCTGCATTACGTTTATTTACTCGGGAATGCCCTTTATTGCTATCTTCTTCATGAATATTTGTTCGGGAAGGGAGGTCCTCATTGTCAATCTCAGCTAATATGGCATATAACGGAGCAAGACGGGCATTAAGGTGATAAGTTATCATGTCTTCATCCTCTTCCAATTTGATAGCAACAAGATCAACATCTTCACCTTCTTTTTCATCAATGTTAGCTACTTCAATTGAGAGAGGGAGCACTGTTTCATCTTGGCTTATCTGAGTTGTTAACGGATTGAGCTTAGAAGCCATGTTCTGTTCTTCTTCTGACTGGGAAAACACTTTCTCAGAGCCACTTTTATCCAGCAAAGAAACATTGAAGCAAATGTCTCCACCTATGTATTCAAATACTGCAAATTCTCCAACTCTTAAGCTATGATTCTGCACAAAAACATCCCAACCCTTCTCAAAGTAAAGCTTCCCTCCTTGACTGCCATGTCGAATCCCCACATCCCATCTCCCCTTTGCAGTGATTAATGTTGCTGTTTGTAATAACTTATCCCCTTCAAGCTTTTCACAGACGATTGGCGGCAGAGTCTATTGCCAAACAATAAAAATAAAAAGCATGAAGATTAACTAAAAGCATTTACTTATTCACCAAGAAAAGAACGAATATCAGAACACATAGAGAGATGATCATAACATGCATTGTAGCCAAAATCTCAGATTGAAGGAGAGCAGAACAAAACCCAAAATCTCATATTAAAGGAGAACATGCATTACTCAAACCCCAATTTAGAACTATAATAATCAAATTCATATAATAATAGCATCAATATAAAATTGCCAAACACAAAAAACCATTCTAAATAACTCAAATAGCAAAATAGCAAAACAATCTAAATAGTATAACTCTGATCTTATCAATCTATTAAAAGAAACATATATATTGATAAAAGCTTGAAAAGAGAGAATAACAAAAACTTATCATTAATTAAATAAACTAAATAGATATACATAATAAAAGTTCAATACAAATATCTGGTAAATAATAGTACAAGCTCAATGCTTAGGAACAACATTAAAATCAAACTAATAATCATGTTTATAAATCCATAAATTCTAGAGCATGTGATAGGATTCAGGCCGGGTAAATTCTTGAAGTTGGGTAGATTCTTCCTGCAACCATGGCACTAGATATCATTGCCCTTCGAATTTTAAAGTGTAAATAAAAAAAATATATACCTACAAAAAAGAGTAATCCAAAAACTATTGAAAATATAAAATTGAGAACGCTTATAGCCTTTGTATCAATCATGTCCCATACAAAGTAACTTGTAAACAAGAGGCCAGTCAGAGACATATTGGCAAAACAAACACAATAAGGAAGTTGATAAAGTTTTGCTTCGCTAATCGTCAAGATGTCATTGTCTTCTTGACTATATTGAAACAAGGGGGTGACTAGACTCCAAACTATGCGAGCCCGTTCAAGTTGATAATCTACAGGCAACATTCTAACTTCTATCCAAACTTTTATCGTATAATATATAGTAACATAATCCCCTATACACAATAGGAACAGTGGAGATATGATGACAAAATTAAAATGTGAATATTTTATGTCATAAAAAATTTCGCACAAGATTACGATGAGCGTCGTCACACATGTAACGAAGATGCCCTGAGAAACAACATCACATACACTATGCCCGAGCCACAATTCCGCCATTGTAGGTATTTGGTTGGAAGAATATGAAAATTTATTGACTACAAAAGAGTATCCCTACAAAATTTGAATGATGTGATTTAAGTCCCATATATATATATATATATATATATATATATATATATATATATATATATAGTAGAGTTAATATCTAAAATTGTCCTCGATTATAGTGGTTTTTCTCAATTTTGGATATTAACTCATATATAGTAGAAGAAGCCAACTATAATCAAACTTAATTAAGTCAATAAGATATTTTATTTAAAGAAACCAAAATATTTTAGAATCTTTATGATTTTTCTTTAGTAATCTTCCTTTTTAATACTTGTTTTTAGGAAAGAAAATAAAATCAATTTCATATTTTGTATTTTATGAAGAGATCACCATGAATTGCGCCTCTCACAATGGTAGAGAGCTTCTGGCCTAGATTATGTATATGATTGTGATGGTAAACTTTAATTTATACTTAATAATGCAGTGGAAATGTTCTCAAAAAAATAATGCAGTGGAAATTGAGTTCGATATCACAATGTAATTGAAAGTTAGTTTTTTGTTTTTTTTTTTTAAATTTATATTGTAAGCATTAAATTAAAAAATCAGTGTGAAGCACATTGGGCTTAAATGACATGTAATGATCCTCCTATATGAGAAGTCATGAGATCGAGCCTACGTACAATGTAATAGAAAAGTATTCAAAAAAATAATAAAAAA